TCCCTTGGGAAGAAACTTTCAGGAGGTTTCCACGAAGGTCAGGTTGGTCTGTGGTGGGGGGAGAGTTGAGGGGTGGGACAGGCATTCCCAGAGCCATGTGAACTGCAGGGATGTTTCCCTCCCCACTGTCACACCACCCCTGGCTCAGGGATTTCCCTTGGGAAGAAACTTTCAGGAGGTTTCCACGAAGGTCAGGTTGGTCTGTGGTGGGGAGGAGAGCTGGGAGGGGGACACAGGCAGCCCCAGAGCCTGTTAACTGCAGGGATGTTTCCCTCCCCATTGTCACACCACAGGGATTTCCCTTGGGTAGAAACTTTCAGGAGGTTTCCAGCCCTGTGGGATGAACCCTATAGGCAATGGGATATTCTCTGCTGCTCCTCACACCTTTCCACTTTGCTTCCCTCCCTCTTGGTGGTCCCTGGACTCCCTTCTTGCTGGTCACCCCACGGGGACTTATGGGTGCGGGGCCCTGCTGTGTGCAGCCCTGCAGCAGAGCTTGCAGGAGAGGAGCCGAGCAGAGAAACCAGGGAGAAAACACGGCTGGAGGGAGCCGGAAGCGGGTGGGAAAACTTCAGGAATAAGGAAAAGAAGAAAGGGAAAGGTGCAGGGTGGCCTCACCTCGTAGTGCAGGAAGGCAGAGGAGTCGTGCAGCTGCAGAGTGTCCCTGCGGGCCGGGGCATCGTGCGTGGCCAGGGCCAGGCAGCGCAGGGTGTCCATGCCCATCCCCCAGTCCCGGATCCTGCTCAGGATCTTCTCCCGCACCGGGGCGCTCAGAGGGACCTTGGCGGTGCCCACGCGGACGTGGGTGCAGCGATCGATCACGCTTTCCGGGGCGCCCTGGGGAGGAGCAGGGAGGGATGGAGTGAAGGTTTGGGGGTGAGAGGGTCCTGCCGGGACCCCAGGGAGCTCCAGAGGGAGGGAGGGAAGGCAGCGGGTTGGGGCAGAGGAGAAGGCATCTCCCAAAGATGCCCATGAGCCAGCAATGTGCCCTTGTGGCCGGGAAGGCCAATGGCATCTGGGGTGCATTAGAAAGGGGGTGGTTAGTAGGGCAAAGGAGGTTCTCCTCCCCCTCTGTTCTGCATTGGTGAGGCCACATCTGGAATGTTGTGTCCAGTTCTGGGCCTCTCAGTTCCAGAAGGACAGGGAACTGCTGGAAAGAGTCCAGGGCAGAGCCACAGAGATGCTGGAGGGAGGGGAACATCTCCCTGCTGAGGAAAGGCTGAGGGAGCTGGGGCTGTTGGGCTTGGAGAAGAGGAGACTGAGGGGCCACCTCATCCATGGGCACAAATCTGTTCAGGGCAGTGTCAGGAGGACAGAGCCAGGCTTTGTGCAGTGATGTCCAGTGACAGGACAAGGGGCAGTGGGTGCAAACTGGAGCCCAGGAGGTTCC